ATAATCAGCAATAACATAGCGTACAGTTTCTTTGCGGATATAAAAACGATGAAGAATCCAACACGCACATCACAATCATACAGGAGCATAATGAAGTTTAAATGAAGTGATTAGCGACAGACAAGAAAAATGTGAGAATCAAAGTGCAGGTGCATGAATGTAGGAAGTTAAAAAAATAAATCATCTAACAGACAAATTGTTTCACACACAACGTCATTTACCTCTGCTGCCTTTAGTTGCTCATTGTTGACAGCTTCAATAATTTCACACACAACGTCATTTACCTCTGCTGCCTTTAGTTGAACATTGTTGACAGCTTCAATAATTTCAATCGTATTAATACAAATGGACAAGGTGGTCGGCGTGGAGTAGATTTCTTTTTCAACTCTTTTTTTGCTCATAGATGTATAAGATTATCGTTGTTTTTTGAAGTACTTTCAATAACGATGCGATTATCATAGGGAGCAGGAGAAAGGGTTGTTGTTAGGGGTTAAGGAGAAACTAGAATTGGACAATCAATGTGTTTTTATTAAATATCCTGTATCAGATATTTTTCTGAGTATCTTTATTACGAATACAAAAAAGATTATGGGCAGATTAGATAAGCTAAGCAAAAAGCAAACAACGAACTACACAAATAATAGAGAAAGTTAGCAAACAAGACGTATCGTCTAGGACGCCGTACGAAGGGCGTAAATATGGCGTGGACTCAACCATATATGGGCATATCACGCTATTTTTACGATGTCTTCGTCGATACCTCGTGTTTGCTAAATTTTGCTAATATGACATATGGTGATACTGATCATTTATTTTTCCTTGATCAATAAGCCAAAAATTCATTTGCACATGTCAAGCCAATGGGGATTAAAATATGTAAACAACTAGTTAATATAAAATTTTGAAGAGTACAAAATGCACAATCCATGTTTAGAATTTCGACATCTACTTTTATAATGACTACTACGGTTTTTATTAAGCTCTCCATGAACTGAGAAAAGGTTAACAATGATATATAAAGAGTCCGACTAATGCTACCACTTGTAATCTTGTAATACATCAATGAATGACTCAAATTTGCATGAATAGAGCAAAATATTTCACTTCGTCATGGATCAACAGTTATATATGGCAAGTAATATGAATACGGATTTTACATTGAAGCAATTTTGCTTGCGATCAATATTAACAATTTTTTCAAGGTAGATCATTGGCTTTGTTGTTTGCAGAAAGTTTAAGACGTGACGAGATGGGTTTTGAATTCAAAGAATTGGAAAATGAACGGTTTATATCGTATATTAACAAAGAATACGATGACATGGATATAAATGACAACAATGGTCAAATTTTAACTTCGGAGATCACGAATGAAGGACTTCAGAACACAACAAACTTGCAAAATGGTAGAAACATTTGCAAATCTCTTTTGAAGAGTACGTGGATGACAATCCATCTCCTCTTAGCGATCATTCCATCAACTGTACTGGCCATGGCAGTAATATTCCTGGATATCAACATCACGTACGGATGTTTGCAATGGAAAAATCAATACAACACTAGTCTACCGTTGTCTGTGCAACGTGCTCAAGTCTACGGCTATAATGTTGAAAATTTAGTGATATTTTCATGGTACCCACTTACTATGATCTTATTGTTCGGTTGGAGAGAATTCAAAGCAAAGTATTTATCTGTTGCTTATATTGCTGTAATTTTTGGCTTGTTCACAGTGATATATGACCAGATTTTGCTAGAGTTTCAACTTCACAATTCCAAATTGTACTATGGATATCCGAAAAACGTTTGTTTTTGCGTTATGTTAGTGTGTTCAGCTTCCGTAATAGTTTACAACATCCGTTCCAGCGACATCGTGGTTTCATATTCGAATGTTCACATAATGGCTGTTATTCTTATTGAATTCATTTTGTGTGTTATAATTTCATATATCTACAACTACGGAGTCACTGTTATTTTCAACAAAGTACAAGAGCCGAGGGTCAAATTCTTCATCGCTGCCTCGCCTGCAGTGATGACTCTCATTCCTGCTCTGATATGTATGCAAATTGCGCTGAGAAAAAGTTCAGAGCTTGTTCACCCTGGCCGTTGTTTTCTCCTTGTCTACTTTATCCGAGGTGGAGCTATATTTTTGTTTCGAACAATGCAATCTGATTTCCAAAGTATTTGGCTATTTGTTGGTCTTTCATTATCGTCATCGATTTCAGGCTTTTTCATGAAGGCAACTCGACAAGTTCGTTTCAATTTTTGGAAGCGTACAATCTCAAAATTACACTCCCTGGGCTATTTTCTACGATTTCGAGCATCAACGTGGAACACAGCACATGCAAGACGGTTGCAAGCTGACTTGGAAATACAAGATGTGCTTTTTGAATACAGCACTATCGTTTTGAGTCAAGCTTACTTAACTTTTTACCAGCTACAAAGTTTTGAAATACAAGGGGCCACTGATTTTAGAGTTCCTTAAAAGGATTGCGATTGGTGTTTCTATTGAATTTATTTTTAACTGTTTATCAAATCATGTTCAAATGTATCACTACAACATTCCCATTGGCCGTGTGTGGAGAAGATACTGGAAACGACATTTGTTCGCTAATTTAATTTTTGTGTTTACCCTTATTGCATATTTTAGCATAGATTTCACGTCGGTATTTCAATCACGTTATCAGGAGAGACGAAATGATATCAGGAACTGTACAACATTATTTTAAGTGAACGTTGATGAAGTCTTTAAAGATAGAACAAAAACTACATTTTTGTAATCTATTTTGTGATACTGTTATCATTAGGTCATTTAATACATAAATAAGCTTCTTTGCATTGATTTATGCAATAATTTGACAAAATATATCAACGAACACTTACCCAAGTTTATTTCATCTAAGTTTGCAAAAGTAAATTTGTTTATTTCTTTATCCATTGAAGAAACTTCAAACGGCAAAGATTGACTTTAAAATTATTGTACCTCGTGTTGTGCAGTTGACTATGTTTATAATCAAAACGCTAGACTTGCTGCTACAAAACAATGATCAATTCAAGTGAAACGCATAAGTAACTGATTTACCCGACTTTGTTAACATCTGGTGAATACATTTTGATTACACAGAACCTAAAATAAGTTTAAAACAATTTAAAAATAAATTACATTGTTTCGTTTTCTTCTTTTGTTATAGCGGTGGATGATGTGAGTGAGGAGAGCAGAGGGCGTCCAACCCCTTCAATATTTACAGACTTTAGCTCTTATTAGTACGATTACAAGTAGCGATAATTACACGTTTTACACTGCATTAAACTAAAGTAAACATTCAATAACACGATGTGAATGTGATGAAACATAAAATTGTGGAATATTCGTTTGATTGTACGAAAAATGATTGACATTTGTGAAAGCTCAATTAGATTAAGTGGTTGCTTAAGATAAAATGATGAATGATAAAAGGTAAAATTCAATAATTGTTTAAAGCAATTCAATGAGCATCACGTTCACTAATTTAACTAAAAAGAATTTGCAAAATAACCAGTTTCGCTGCATTCATAAGACGAAAAATGGCACTTTCAGCGACATTGAGGGATTGGGAGTTGGGTGGGAGTGTGTGGTTAATGTTCCTATTCTATGTTTTAATAACAGGCAAAGGCGAACATACGTACTATGTCGTCACAGAAATATAGAGAAACTGGACGTGAAATAAACAATTGCTTGCTCGAATTGAATGTTTAGCGGTGTTTATTGAATTTCTTCAAAAATGTTAATGAATTTCACAATTCATCTCAAGTCATTACTTAATCTATATGAACATACATAAATGTTAATGATCTTCCGTTCGTTTAAATGAGCATACCAAAGTCTTTTGTTGTAGAACATCATGTTATTGAAGATTTACTTTAGATTAATGCGGAGGAAAAGGTGCGGAAGGAAAAATTTTACTGCTATTAAAAATTAAGAGTTGTATGCGATTTTTCTTTTGGGGAGGTTTTGGTCCTCCAATCTCCCCTCCCCCAAAGAAAATAAATCTTACGAGCGCGATTTACAAGAATTAGTCAATAAAGCAGAAAGGTTTAGAATAAAAGAAGTACAATTGCTCAAAAAATGTTCCGGGATTAGAAAAACACATCAAACAATAATATGGTTTGGACCAAATAACATAACAGTAAAATAAACCGAATTTTGATTAAATGTACTCGCTTTATCTTTATTATAAAACCTAAAGAATATTGTGGAGACAGTAAGTAAAGCGCTGTTTCAATTGGTAATGGTACTAAAATGTTTTGAAATAAAAATACGCCATCTGAAAAAGTTTATGGTAAAATGCCATATACGTATCCATTGTCAGAGTATTTGTTTGGAGGTATATTGTACAGATACTAGTCTCATTAAATCACATTGAGATAGGCGACAACCTCAAAGATTTAATGATGAAGATATAACTGCCAACAACATATTTATATGAACAAAGCACTTTAGTTGAAGCATAAAGTAGAAGTAACATTAATGAATGAAAGAAAGCAGCCAAGTTAGAATACGGATCATAGATTAAGAATGATACTTGGAATCAGCTAATCATACAACCCGAAAAAAGAATGTGACTGGCAGTAAACGTATCTTTAAAACAAAGAGAAACTTTGATGAAAACGTTCATAGGGATATTGTTGGTTCAAGGTTACATTTAATGGTCAAGTATCGATCGTGAAAAATGTTTGCACTTCCTTTGATAATTCACTAGTACATGACCAGTTGGAGATACTAAATTTAAGAATGGGAAATTTAAAATTAAAAATACATATAAACAAAGAAATATACATGAAATATGTATTGTTTATAAAAAAAAAACAACTGGTCAACACTCTTCCCCCCCACATCACACACAAACCCATTTTCATCTGCATCAATCACTAAATAGGGTAGTTTTGCCACCATCAACTTTGTGAAAAAACATAAATGGTTTTAATTTTGGCAAATCTTCTAATGATAGGCATCGTACATTTTTCAACTAGAACAACGAACAGTTCCTGACAGCATACTTTACAGAGCTCTCTCCAGTCTCTTTGAAATGCAATCGAAATACGGATTCCAAACTTCGGCTAAAATAAGCAATAATTACCAACACGACGACTACATTAGCGAACAAATGTCGTTTCCAGTATTTTTTCCACACGCGGCCAATGGGAATGTTGTGATAATACATTTGCACAAAATTAGACAGCCAGTTAAAGATGAAATCTATTAAAACACCAATCGCAATTCTTTTCAGGAACTCAAGTAACAATGGTTCTGTGGCGATGTTAAAACTTTGAAGCTGATATGAAATGAAGTAAGCTTGACTCAAAACAAGAGTGTTGTATTCAAAAAGTATATCTTGAATTTCTAAGTCAGCTTTCAACCGTCTTGCATGAGCAGTGCTCCATGGTAAAACTTGTAGTCTTTGAAAACAACGCAATTTCTTTAAAGCTGAAACTATTCGTTTCCACAATTTGAGTCGAAGTTCTTCGGTGGCTCTTTTCAGAAAGTTTAAAACTGCTGATAATAATGAAAGGCCAGTAAAAAGCCAAATACTTTTAAAGTTTGTCTGCATCGTTCTATAAAGGAATATAGTACCACCTCGGATCATGAACACCAGGACAAAACTACGACCGGGATGAACAAGCTCGGAACTTCTTTTCAACGCTATATGCCCACACAATACTGTAGGAATAAGTGACGCCAGTGGTGAGGAAGTAGCAATCAAGAATTTATATAAGCTTTGACGAGCTTTATTGAACACAGGAATTATTGTAAACTTGTAAAATATGAAAGTAAAATACAAAAGACAAATTCTATAGAAACGAGAACTGTGATGTGAAAATTTGAATAAGGAATGAAAGGTTGGTTGGTTCGAAGATTGTACACTATCAAAAATGTAAAGCAAAACAGCGATATACAAAATAAGAGATGTGGAGGGTATCTGTAGTAGCTATTTGTAGCGTAAGCATTAAACTGAATCAAAATCATTTCGTAAATGACCACCAACTCGCTGAATATGACACCAACATAAACCGTTGACGAGAACTTTGATTTAAATTCTTTCCATCCAAATAATATCATCATCGTCAATGGAAACCATAAATATGTCACTATCGCCTGCATGGAATCACCAAAAACATGAGCACGTTTTACAGATAAGGGTAATGTATTGTTGTTGTGATTCTGCCATTCTAGGCAGCTGTAGGTGATATTCATTACCACATAAACAAGCGTTATAAAAAATGCAATAGGAATGATGGACGCCACAATGATGTTTAAATTCATCCAAAAACATTTGCAAAATGTCCTCCAAACTTTTTCACAGTTTTGACAAGCATTGTAATTACTTCCATACTGGCTGGAATCACTAGGGACAAAATGATCGCTTGATAATTGAGCATAATTATCGTCATCGTATTCTTTGTTGATGTAATTGTCTTTATCAGCATTCTCGATTTCTCTGAACTCAACATTTGTATTTTCAGCTAAAGATTCCGAGTTAGACCTCATTCTTGATGTATCTGGAGCAAAAAGTGAACAAAGCCATAACGCACACTCGATTATCTCCACCAGCATTTTAAATAAGGTCAATGGATGATTCTCCACACATTTAGTTTTCCACAGCGTTGTATGACAATGATCATGAGCAAGAAATGGCGTGCTCCTTGCAGATATATGAAAAATAATGAACGACTCATCATTTCGCACATGGTTTTTCCAATATCCAATATATTGTTACGTCTACATGTAAAGCTAAAATCAAAAAACATAAAGAAAGTGCAATTAAAGTATGAGTGACAGTGAAGAGCATGTGACGAAGTGCAGATTAAACAAACTGACAACTTAATGAGAAATATAATGACTAAAACTGGAATTTCTGAAGCTCCTCGCCGTAATAAGTAGTAGTTGCTTAACAATTTCAGTCTTTAAACAATTGCAGATGCTGATAATCCAGGTGAAATATTGTCAAAGCTTGCTCCATATACCAAACTGAGTTACTTCGAGCAATGCACACCTTGTTTGTTGTTTCACTCGAATTAACGTCATTGTGTTCTTCGCAGTGGCGTAACTGCTATGAGCTCTGAATGGGCAGAGCCACGGCACCAAAGCAATCAGAACTCTGAACGGTGTTGTTTAAGAAAACAAAGATAAAAAAGTAAGTCTCTATTTGGGCAAATTAGAAGCATTGATATTTCTCTCATTTTAAGTCATTCGTGAATTCGTGTTCCCGTTAGTAAATTGAAAGTACTATTTGTTATTATTCTATGAAGCGCCTCCAACATTTTAATTTCGTTCCACTGATGAATCAAAGGAAGTTAGAGCTGACGAATGAACCAAAACTGTCTCGCTCCAGTGTTTAGTTTTTGTTCACTGTTATTATCCTATGAAGCGCCTCCAACATTTTAATTTTGTTCCACTGACGACTCAAAGGAAGTTAGAGCAGATGAATGAACCAAAACTATCTCGCTCCAGTGTTTCGTTTTTGTTCACTGTTATTATTCTATGAAGCGCCTCCAACATCTTAATTTTGTTCCACTGACGACTCAAAGGAAGTTAGAGCAGATGAATGAACCAAAACTGTCTTGTTCCAGTGTTTAGTTTTTGTTCACTGTTATTATTTTATGAAGCGCAACTTCCAAATGAGTGTCACGTTTGAATCTTCATCACTTCTATTAGTCATTTTGTATATCCAAATACATCGTTCTGTATTATAAATACAACAGGTTTTGCCTCACATGAGCAGGTTAATAATGAGCTGTATTAAATACTTTGCCAATTGCCAAATTTGTCCCTGACAACACACCAATAAGTTTCAACTCCCTTCAACATAACGATATTTCATTTTCTCGTGGATCAACCGTTGTTAATAGCAAGAAATATATAACAAGAAATATGTATTTTTCCACATATCACCATGTGAACCAACTTCTTTTGTGATCAGTCGTTGTCGTAACTTGTTTTGTACATAGTTTCAAGGCAAATCACTGGCTTTGTCGTTGGCAAAAAAGATTGCTGGAGTTTAAACTTCAGAACTCAAAATTTTCTTTTAGATATGCAACAAACTTTTGCGCTTGAGTTATATGAGTGTGTTTGCAGCATCCGTAATGTCTTAAAACATGAGTGCCAGTAACTTTATGGTTTCATGTTCGAATGACATGTTGATTGAGACAACGGAATTTGATGTTTTAAATTATCATATTTTTGTTCGAGAACCTGGACCTCAACTCAAGACACAATATGGGAATGTATATTAGTTCAAATATATACTTTTCGATATAACAGTACTATTTTATGGGAAACTTTGGTGTACTACCATATGATGCTATGAGTATGAACTATCTTGAAGAAGTACATTTAGTTAAACTAAACGATGCAACTACTCAACAGCAGCACCTGCAAATTGATCATTACGTCTTTGTTCGCATGCTATATTAATAAAAAATATGCGATCGGATAAGCTTTCATTTTCCCTAGTTTGGAAAGTTGATCTTCACTTAGTAACCACGTGTTTTCTTTTTATTATACCAAATACAAGTGCGTGATACTTCCTTGTTTCAATACAGTAGCGGATACAGCTTTCGTCAAAATAAATTATAGCTGCTCAATTTTAAATTCTAAGTACTTTCAGAAAAACATTATAGGTTTTGAATTTCGAAAGAATATAATTTTACCTACGGTTTTCCGCCCACCCCCTAAAATGTTATGTTTTACATATATTATTTTGTACAAATGATAATTAAAGCCCCTCCCCTTGACAGAAAATTCTGGCTACGCCAATGAAAAATAGCCGATTTAGGGTTGGGCAAAATTATGGCCTTTATTTTAAATTCAAAATATATTTATAATCCCACAGAATGTTGTCAGATTGTAATAAAAAGGAGTTTTCTAACAGCTCACACACCGACATCGTACGAGTTTTCACAATATGACAATATGTACATTGAAACCAGTCTGATTTACATATACTTCTTACTTCAACTATACAAATATTATTTACGCTCATTCAATGGAAGAGTTATTAACAAAAGTATCTTCGTAAACAAACTAATAATAATCTTTCTAAGATAACTCCATTCCAGGATAATTAAAATTCAAAACAAAAGCATTAGACTATAGCTTATGTTGCTGCATTTATTCAATAACAATAAGTTAATTCTTTTGTCGATTATCTACTTTGGAAATGATACTCGCGATTAATACAAAATGAGCATTCGTGTTCCTGTCATAACGAGGAAACCATGGAACACAAATAAATCTTTCGAAATAATCTTTTTAGAAATATTTGCTTTGTAGATATGCCGTCTTTTGAGATGCAATATTGATTTTAATTTGTGTGAGCACTTTACGATGGAATATATTGAATGAATATGAGTACTTCACCAATCGTAAAGTTTTAATCATTCGAAACAAATTCACACAGTATAGTCAAGGAATAGCAACGGAGTTTGAGGATATGGTCGATCTGACAAACGATGATGAAACGAGAGAGGATGTTGAGACTCAAACTTTTTTTGTGTCCGCCTGTAAATAGCTTGTTTGTTCGTCGATAACTATCATATCGCCGTTAAATTTTGTCAGCAAAAAAGTTGGCTTAAAGACTTCAATCTTGATAAATTCTCTAATGATGCAGTTTGTCGGTATTACAATTATTATACGCGGGGTCAAATGTTTTATCCATTGATCAAATAATAAAAGTAAATTATAATTTACAGCTAAAAAAATGAACAGTTCTTATAAATGTATTTTGCAGAATTCCCTCCAGAATCTTTAAAATGCGATTGGAACACAGATTCTAAGTTCCGCTAAAATAAGCAATTAATACAAAAATTATAACTATGTTGGCACACAAATGTCGTTTCCAGTACTTGTTCCACACGCGGCCAATGGGAATGTTGTAATAATGCATTTGCACAAAGTTCGACAGACAGTTAAAGATGAAATCTATTGAAACACCAATCGCAATTCTTTTGAGGAACTCTAAGAACAATGGTTTAATGGCGATGTTAAAACTTTGAAGCTGATATGAAATGAAGTACGCTTGGCTCAAAACAAGGATGTTATATTCAAAAAGTGTATCTTGAATTTCTAAGTCTGCTCTTAACCGTCTTGCATGAGCAGTGTTCCACGGTAAAACTCGTAATCTTTGAAAACACTGTAAATTGTTTAAAGCTGAAATTGTACGTTTCCACAGGTTGAAGCGAATTTGTTGGGTTGCCTTTTTCAAAAAGTTAAAAACAGCTGAGAACAATGAGAGACCAATGAAAAGCCAAATACTTTTAAAGTTTGTCTGCATCATTCTATAAACAAATATAACACCACCTCGGATCATACACACCAGAACAAAACTACGACCTGGATGAACGACCTCGGAGCTTTTTCTCAACGCCATATGCCCACAAAATATTGTAGGAATAAGCGCTAACAGAGGTGAAGATGTAGCCATCAAGAATTTATATAATTTTCATGAACTTTTAGGAACACGGGAATAATTGTATAGGTGTATTGATAAGAAAGTAAAGCACTAAAGATAAATTCCATAAGAAGAAGCGCTGTAATGTGATAGTTGGAATAAGAAATGAAAGATTCGTTAGTTCGAATGTTGCAAAGAATCACGAAGGTCGAGCAAAATAAAGACAAACAAAACAAAAAATTTGGAAGACATCTGTAGTAGCTATATGTATCATAAACATTGAATTGAAATGAAATCAAGTGATAAATTACGATCAACTCTCCGAATATGACACCAACATAAACCGTTGATAAAAACTTTGCTTTGAACTCTTTCCATCCAAATAATACTATCATTGTCAATGGAAACCATAAATATAACACAAACGACTCCACGCAATCGCCAAATACTTGAGCACGTTTCACAAATAAAGGTAATGTGTTGTTGTTGTGATTCTGCCATTCCAGACAACTGTAGGTGGTATTCATTTCCACGTAAACAATTGCCAAAGCAAATGTAATTGGAATGATGGAGGCCATAACAATGTTTAAATTTGTCCACAAACATTTCCAAAATGATTTCCAACATGTACCACCATTTTGACAATCATACCAACCTGTTCCGCACAGGCTTGTGTCCCTGTGGAGAGAATGTTCGAATGACATTTCGCCATTATTAACGACAATGTATTCTTTGTTGATAAAAGTTCTCGGCGCATCATTCTCGATTTCTCTAAATTCGAAATTGGTATTTTCGGGTAAAGATTCTTCGTTAGAACGAACTCTCGGTGTATCTGAAGCAAATAGTGAACAAATTGACAAAGCAAGCCCGATTATCTCTTCTATCATTCTGCTTATCTTTAACAGACGAGGCAAAGGAAAGTTTATGAAATTATTCACAATTTTCCCACTTAATTAAACTGTCTCGCTTTCGGTGGCTTTTATGTTCAATAAATCTCTTGATGCCAAACGCCACACCCGAGCGAGTGCCACGTTTATAATCTTTAAATACACAAAGAGAAAATAAAGTTATAATCCAGTCAAAAAACGTCATGATTCTACATCTATCCTTACAATAAATACAAATAGTTTTCAAACAGTCCAATATATATGAGCCTAGAAAAAGTTCAAAAGCATTAAATATAAAATGACAAATTAATTTGCATAAAAATACATGCATATTATTGGGTCAATATAAAAATCTTTCAAAAACGTCACGGATCAACAGTTATTAATGACCAGCAATAAAGAAAACGGAACAATATTTTCAAACACGTCAACACGTAAAGCCACTTTCCTTATGTTCAGTATTCGCGTGTTGTTGTGTGAATAAATTTCATAAATGATCATTGGCTTTGTTGTTTGCAGAAAGTTTAAGACGTGACGAGATGGGTTTTGAATTCAAAGAACTGGAAAATGAACCGTTTATATCGTACGTTAACAAAGAATACGATGACATGGATATAAATGACAACAATGGTCAAATTTTAACTTCGGAGATCACGAATGAAGGACTTCAGAACACAACGAACTTGCAAAATGGTAGAAACGCTTGCAAATCTCTTTGGAAAAGTACGAGGATGACGATCAGTCTTCTTTTATCTCTCATTCCATTAACTGCTGTGGCCATGGCACTAATATTCTTGGACATCAACACCACATATAGATGTCAGCAATGGAAGAATATGTACAACGCCAGTCTACCTTTGTCTGTGAGACGTACGCACGTCTACGGTGATAATGTTGAAACATTAGTAATATATACATGGTTCCCACTAACTATGATCTTACTATTCGGTTGGAAAGAATTCAAAACAAAGTATTTATCAGTCGCTTATATTGCCGTAATGTTTGGCTTGTTAGCAGTGATATATCATCAGATTTTGCTAGAGTTTCAAGTTCAGAATTCCAAATTGTACTATGGATATCCGAAAAACGTTTGTTTTTGCGTTATGTTAGTGTGTTCAGCTTCCGTAATAGTTTACAACATCCGTTCCAGCGACATCGTGGTTTCATATTCGAATGTTCACATTATGACACTTATTCTAATCGAATTCATTTTATGTGCTTTCATTTCATACATCTACAAGTACGGAATTTTTGTTGCTATCAACAAAGTACAAGAGCCACGATTCAAATTCTTCATCGCCGCATCCTCTCCAGCGATGACCATTCTTCCTACCGTATTGTGCATGCAAATGGCGCTGAGAAAAAGTTCCAAGCTTGTTCACCCTGATCGTTGTTTTGTCCTCGTCTATGTTATCCGAGGTGGAGCTATATTTTTGTTTCGAACTATGCAATCTGATTTCCAAAGAATTTGGTTATTCGTTGCTCTTTCATTATCGTCAGCAATTTCAGGTTTTTTCATGAAGACCACTCGACAAATTCGTTTCAATTTTTGGAAACGCACAATCTCAAAATTACACTCCCTGGGCTATTTCCTACGATTTCGAGCATCAACGTGGAACACAGCACATGCAAGACGGTTGCAAGCTGACTTGGAAATACAAGATATGCTTTTTGAATACAGCACTATCGTTTTGAGTCAAGCTTACTTTACTTTTTACCACCTTCAAAGTTTTGAAATACAAACATGGCCGCTGATTTTAGAGTTGCTTGAAAGAATTGCAATTGGTCTCGCCATTGAATTTATTTTTAACTGTTTATCAAATCATGTTCAGATGTATCACTACAACATTCCCATTGGCCGTGTGTGGAGAAGATACTGGAAACGACATTTGTTGGCTAATTTAATTTTTGTGCTTACCATTATTGCATATTTTAGCCAAGATTTCACGTCGCTATTTCAATCACGTTATCAGGAGAGACGAAATAATATCAGGAACTGTACAACATTATTTTGAGTAAACATTGGTGAGCTGTTAAATTATCAAACGAAAATGATGTTTACATAGTATTTAGTGTAGTGCTATACGTTTAATCTCTGCAGCAATGAGTGTTTTTGACTAATATCAACGAATATTTTACTCAGTTTACTTTATCTAAAATTGTAAATGAAGATTTGCTTACTCCCTCATCAAATCAAAACAACTTTCAACAACGAAGTACATTTGAGAAGTAAATTTTATAATTGGCTACAAAATGTCTGTAGCCCGGGTCATGCATCCAACTATTTTTGATATCAAATTGTAAGACCAGAACCCTCTAAAATTTATTGTGAAATAATAGTCAACTCAAATGAAATAACAGGAAGTAGTCAGACTTACTAACTTCGATCAGCAACACCTGGTGTATGTGCTTTTGGCAAAAGAGAGCCTGTGAATTTAAAAAAAACTCATTTGATAATGAAGTTGTCCCGAAGGTCTCCTCAATTTGTATTCTTCTCAATAAACAGAGTAAGCATCTTTTATTTCTGAAATGAAACACAGGTAATAAACAGACTTACCACCTCCAATCAACACCTGGTCCGTGTACTTTTGTCAATAGAGAACCTATGAATTTGAAAAAAATCTCATTTGAATAATGAACAAAGTAGTTTAAACAAGCTTTGTTGATCAAACATTAAACGAATAAACGCAACTGAACATCATTCAACAACCAATTCTATTACATAACATGAATGAAATGGCGTTAAAGCTTTCACAAATTTAAGATAGTATAGTAACAAAACGTTTTATCGGGAAAATGTAGAAATATGTTTGGCCTTGCTATAATTCAAAAACAAGAAAGCGTCGAACATAAAATTTTGTCCTTAAAAATTTGTTTATTGACTGCATTGCCAGATCGTCTTTGAATTTAATTAAACTGATTACTGAAATAGCTATTGCCTAATTAAAGCAAATTTTACTATTTTTTCGCTGAATAAACAATAGTATGCAAAGTAATGAACCATCAGCTACAATAGTAGAAGAGTTTAACAGTTCTAGCAACAAAATAGAAAATGGACTATAAAAAAAGATTGTCTTTGCAAATTTAAAATGGTGAAAAACGATCTAAATAATTTGGATTCAAGCAACCTTTTAATGCGCATGGTTATACATTGAAGGATTAAACATTATGTTAAAAAGGCCACATTACTATAATTACGTAACACGTTGCTCTTTCTCTACATAGTAATCTATGGTTGAAAAATAGTATTGGTAGTGAGACTGATCATTTAGATATTTCTATTCATTGTACGTACAAATATTATTAGAATAACATTTGCCAATCGATACAACAAAAGATCAATATAATCCTTTACTAAAACAACGAACAATTTCTTATTGAATAGTTTGCAGAGCTCGCTCCAGACTCTTCAAAATGCGATCGAAACACGGATTCGAAACTTCGGTTAAAATTAGCAATAATCATCAACACGACAAATGTATTGGCAAACAAATGTCGTTTCCAGTATTTGTTCCACACGCGGCCAATGGGAATGTTATAATAATATATTTGCACATAGTTGGACAGACATTCAAAGATGAAATCTATTGAAACACCAATTGCAATTCTTTTCAGAAACTCATACAAAAATGGCTCAAAGGCGATGTTAAAACTTTGAAATTGATATGAAATGAAGAAAGTTTGACTCAAAACAAGAGTGTTGTATTCAAAAAGTATATCTTGAATTTCTAGGTCAGCTTTTAACCGTCTTGCATGAGCTGTGTTCCACGGTAAAATTTGTAGTCTTTGACAACATTGTAATTTGTTCAAAGCTGAAACTACTCGTTTCCACATTTTGAAACGAATTTGTTGGGTTGCCTTTTTTAAAAAGTTCAAAACCGATGAAAACAATGAAAGAACAACGAAAAGCCAAATATTTTTAAAGTTTGTCTGCATTGTTCTGTAAATGAAAATAATTCCACCACGGATCATAAAGACCAGAACAAAACTACGACCTGGATGAACGACCTCAGAACTTCTTCTCAACGCTATATGTCCACACAACACTGTAGGAATGAGTGCTAACAGTGGTGAAGAGGTAGCAATCAAGAATTTATGCAACTTAAGATGAGCTTTATTAAACAAAGGAATAATTGTGAATTTATAAACATATGAAATCATTGTACAAAAAATAAATTCCATAGTAACGACAACTGCAATGTGACATTTGGTTTGTGAAATGAAAGATTGGTTAATTCGAATGTTGTAAGTGACCACAAATGTACAGAATACTAACGAGGCACAAAAAAGAGCCATAACAGGAAATTTGTAGTAGCTATGAACACCGTAAAAATTGAATTGAAATGAAGTCAAATGATAAATAGAGACCAACTCTCCGAATATGACACCAACATAAACCGTTGATGAAAACTTTGTTTTAAATTCTTCCCAACCGAATAAAAATATCATTGAAAATGGGAACCATAAACATAATACAAACGTCTCCACGCAATCACCAAAGACGTGAGCACGTTTTATAGATAACGGTAATGTGTTGTTGTTGTGATTCTGCCATTCCAGACAACTGTAGGCGGTATTCATTGACACGTAAACAATCGCTATACAAAATGCAATAGGAATGATGGAGGCCACAATGATATTTACATTCGTCCACAAACATTTCCATAATGTCTTCAAAACTTTTCCTTTATTTTTTTCACAACTTCTTACATAATAGCTTGACGCGCTGACCAATTCCTCTCTAATATTTCATCATAATTATCGTCATCGTATTCTTTATTGATGAAAGTTTTTTGTGCGTCATTCTCAATTTCTCTAAACTCAGCATTTGTATTTTCGGGTAGAGTTTCTGTGTTAGAACTAACTCTCGGCGTATCTGCAGAAAAAAGTGAACAAAGCGACAAAGAAAATGCTATTATCTCCTCCAGCATTTTGACTATGTTTGACCAACGAATCAATCGAAATTATGATTAGGTTCATTTCACATATGTAAATGTTTTGTTAAACGAAACAGCACACAATTCTTCAAATATCCTACATATTTTATTACTTATAATCCGGGGAAACGTAATGTTGTATAAATGGCAGTGGGAAGAAGTTTGTTTAATATTTCATCTAACTGTTTACGGCAAAACCACCGAAGAAATCTTAACAAAGCTCTAAACCTTCCTTGCCTTTATGATTATTCTTACTATGACTTTGCATAGCAGAAAGCGAATTCTAAGTATAAAGATAATTGCCCAACATAAAACTTTCAATAAGGCCATGGGTACATAAATTTATTAACAATAACTTTTCGTCTTTAGCTTAAGACATCTTCAGATTACAATATATACATTAGTTAGAAAACATATATACTAATTATACACTATTTACAGGGTGTTAATTTACAAGATACAGTGATGACAATGTTGTGCGATTTTTGTGTTAAGGGATAGAGTGGTGTTGAATGGAATTAGTTAAGATTTAGTGGGGTGGAACTGCCTTGGACATGAGATGGTTTAAGTTTGGAGATGCGGAGGCTTTCGTGGATGGAGAATTCGTATGCATTAGGAGAGGATGATAGAATGTCGAAATCGTCAAAGTCGGCGGAGTGATTAGTGGTTTTGAGATGGGTGAGCACACTGGAATTGATTGGACTCGATGAAGTTTTTCCTGTCAAAGGAAAGATGCCCAAATGTTCCGATACTCTGGGGCCGGTTGCATAAAGCTCTTAACTACTTTTTAACTACACTTTTTGCAGTTAAAAAGTAGTTAAATTTAACCACGCGGTTAAGTCGGTTGTATAAAAAAGTAGTTAGCGCTATGCTATGGAGCATAGTTAACTTTTCAAAACACAGTTAAATATTGCGGCTTAGCTTCTCAAAGACAATTATGGGCGAGATGTTGTTGATCAACAAGGTTTTACCTTGAGTTCTTAATCACATATGTATCTTCCATGGCAAAGGCTTTTAGAATAAGAGTTTATGGACGGTGTACTACATTCGTCAGCGCTGTAAACATCCCAAGTTTAGCTGACGAAATGTTCCGATACTCTGTTGTGTAAATGGCGCGTACCCACGTACGACGCAGAGAAGTGTCGTCACTTAAATAGATAAGCAAAAAACCTGATTTCAGAAATTTGAAAACTCTATCTTTGAAAGGAAAGAAGAATGAAAGATGTGCAGAAGAGCGAAAGACAAAGCAAATATTGAGGTGAGGATAAGAAGCATTGCAAAGTCGAGTGATTTGGGGCGAATCTGAAGGGAGTGTGAGCCGGTGAAGGGAAGGGCAAGATACATAATTTTGTTTGGTAGTGTGCATGGGAGGTTTAGATGCGAAAAGATTTTTGAGGAAACGTCGGACAAGTTTATCGAAGAATTGGGAAGGGAAACTATTCGAGTGGAACATTTTTCGAATTACTTCAAGTTGGCGATGAAAGTTCTCGTAGGTGGAGCAAAGATGGAAAGTTCCGTGAATGAGGCAAGAAACTATGGAGCGTTTGTATGTTAGTGGTATGAAGCTTTTGCTGTCTGTAAAAATACCAGTTAAAGTAGGTTTTCGGTAAAGAGAGTTAGAGAATATGCCATTAGAACGCGTTATTTCGACGTTTAGGAAGGGAGGTTTGCAGACATTTTCTAACTCGGAAGTGAAACGAATGTTTGGATGTTGTTGGTTAAGGAAGTCAAGAAAGAGAGGTACATGCTCAAAGCAACTAAAAAAAAGGAAACGGTCGTTGGAATAGGAGTGGCTTGAAATTTGAGGGGCATTTGTTTAACCATGGTTTCTCGTGAAAAGACATGAAGATATTGGCAAAGAGGCTTCCAAGGGGCTTCCCATGGCTACACCATCGATTGGTTGATACATGCTACCATTAAAAGTGAAGTGGCAATTCTTAACTGAAAGTGACAAGAGTTTAGTGAATTGAGAACGGTCAAAACCGTGGAAGTGAGAAGAATAAGAAATTATGTCATTGGTGATTATTTCAATGGATATTAGTGAACAAGGAGGTAACATCAAATGTAGCCAATACTGTGTTATTGGAATTTATGCTGCAATTCAAAAGTTCTTGAACAAAGGAAAAAGAATCCTTGATGACAAAGGGGCTGGCGGAGATGTGTGAGAAGAGGGATAAAAAACTTGCCTATGTTGTATGAATAGTGGTTGATCGAAGAGACGATGGGTCTTAAAGTGTTTGAAACTTTGTGGACTTTTGGAAGTCCATATGTTCTGCATTGTTTTATAAAGGAATATAACGCCGCCTCGAATCATAGAGACCATGATAAAGCTACGACCGGGATGAACGACCTTAGAACTTTTTCTCGACGCCAAATGCCCACACAAGACTGTAGGAATAATCGCTAACAATGGTGAAGACG